CACTGATGTTGCTTTCATGAAGAGAAATATCAACAGGGATCTGGCACCAGGGGTGCCCCAGAGACTGTGGAAACACTGCTGGCTAAAACCTGAGTTCAGTACCTGTATCTCAGCCCTGGCTCACCATTGACAGCTAGATTGTGCTGCCCCATCTCCTGGCTCTGGTCGGCTCCAGATCCAGATCCACCACTCTGCCTCAGCACTGTTGCTCAGCCTCTGGCTGAGGACTGCATTAAGAGCCCAAATTCACTTAAAAACTAACTTAAAACTAGCCCAATCTACTTCCGGAAACATTTTTTCATTCACACATTGGCCTATACATCAAATAACAAATGAAAGCTTTCATTAGATACCTAGTACAGATTTTATATTTTTTTAAAAAGAAAACCTACAAGTCCTATCAGGAGTTTTTCCACATTAACAACACACCTATAAGGTGACAATCAAATTAAAAATCAAAACACCAGTGCAGATACTTCTATCCTCATTGAGGGTTACAGGTGTTTCACACAAAAAATGACAAATGGTGGCATGAAATATAGCCCCAAATTTGCCCAAAACGTATATACTGAAAAAGCAGCAGTAACATTAACATATTAATTCTTTCTAATTGCATTCCATGATGCTAGTCAATGTCCACATTTTGTATTGAATTACTTTGTTACTGTTAGTCTTTGGTTTATCCTCCAGGTTTCCTGAAGTATTGGACATAGAGAAAACAGGTAAATTTCCCCACAACACTAAGCTCAGCCAAACTCAAACAGAGCATCCTTGATTAACGAGGAGATATACTTTCTCCTTCTTGTCACACAGGTTTCAAGTCAGTGACCCATGGCAATCACTTTCTGCAGATGTATTTGCCCACTTTGTCACGAAGCTCTTTGGATTTGACCCCATAAATGATTGGGTTGAGCATGGGCGGGATGAGGAGATAGAGGTCATCCAAGATGATGTGAATGTGGGGAGCGATGCCCTCACCGAACCGGTTTGTCAGGTTGGAAAAGAGGCTGGGAGAATAATACGTCAGCATCACACAGATGTGGGCTGTGCAGGTGCTGAGGGCTTTCTGGTGGGCTTTCTTGGAGGAGAGTCTAAGAACTGCCTTGATGATCAGACCATAGGACAGGGCAATGAGCGTCAGGTCTGACATGTTGACTACAAAGAATAGCACCAAGCCGTATATCATGTTCACTGTAATGTCCCCACACGACATCTTCACCACAGCATTGTGCTCGCATTGAGTGTGGGGGATAATGCGATTCGCACAGAATGGCTGCCGGCTCAGGAGCAGAGGCAGAGGAAGAATGAAGAGAACAGCTCTTATCAAACACACGAACCCTAGCTTAGCTATTCGTGTGTTATTGAGGATGTTGGTGTATCTCAGAGGCTTACAAATGGCAACGTAACGATCGAAGGCCATTGTCACAAGGACGGCGGAGTGCATAAGAGAAACAGTGTGAAGAAAAAACATCTGGGTGAGGCAGACACCCATAGTAATACCTTTCAAATTGAACCAAAATATGCACAGTGCATTTGGCACAACGAAGGTAGGCGTGGCAATGTCTGTGAGCGCCAGCATGCAGAGCAGCAGGTACATTGGATTGTGGAGAGTCTGCTCTTTGCCTACAACAAACAAAACTGTGAAATTTCCCAACAGACCGATAATGTAGAAGATAGAGAAAGGGATGGAAATCAGGACATGGGCAGCTTCCAGGCCAGGGATGCCCATTAGGATGAATGTTGAAGGGTGGGAGGGGGTGATGTTGAAAACTGCCATGAGGTGGTCAATGCATCGATTGGGCTCAGAAATGCTCCAGGTGCCTGTAAAGGGAGAGAAGCACACGGAAGGGGGGTTACACACTTTATAGAAAATAGTATGATAAATATTTTATACTTATCAACAATCTAGAACTGGAGGTGATCAGTGAAGTGGCAACATTTACAGGTGGCACCAGATTATTTAGCTCAGAGTCAAGTCCAGAGAAGTCCTCTAAGGGAACTGAACAATCCAAGTGAATGGGGAGCAAGATGGCAGATGAATTTCGATGTCAATAAACTGTGATGTGTATGCCCTTTAGAGGAAAAAGCGTAGACTCCTAAAACACTTTACAATGTTCTGATTTAACTATAAGAACTCAGGACAAGGACCTGGGTGTCACGGTACACAGCTCTGTGAAGCCCTGCTCACAGTGCAAGCACAGACAGAAACTAAACAAAACA